TTAAATAAGATATATATAATATATATTACATACATATACACACAGCAGGCTTTTTGAGAAATTCACTTTTAGCTATTTTTTTTTAATGGAAGACGACATTTTCAAAACATTTTTGTTTATTCTCTGATCTGATTGAAAATCGTTGAAGTAAATAACATACATATATGGAGCTTACTTACTATATTTTTAGATATTTTAATTGAAAAATAGAGACCTGAGAACATAATTACTGTTCTCATCCTTCTCATCCGGCTCTTTTTTTCATTCTTCTCGTCCTCTCACTTTGTATTCATCTATCTCATCCTTTTCACTTTTCTCATCCTTCTCATCCTTCTCACCCTTCTCATACTTCTCATCCTTCTCATCCTTCTCACTTTTCTCATATTTCTTACTTTTCTCATCCTTTTCATCCTTCTCATCCTTCTCATCCTTCTCATCCTTCTCATCCTTCTCATCTTTCTCATCTTTCTCATCCTTTTCACTTTTCTCATCTTTCTCAGCCATCTCATCCTTCTCATCCTTATCATTTTTCTCATCCTCCTCATCTTTCTCATCCGTTTCACTTTTCTTATCATTCTCATCCTTCTCACCTTTCCCATCCTTCTCATCTTTTTCATCCATTTCAATTTTCTCATCCTTCTCATCCTTCTCAATCTTCTCATCCTTCTCATCCTTCTCATCCTTCTCATCCTTCCCATCCCTCTCATCCTTCTCATATTTCTCATATTTCTCATCCTTCTCATCCTTCTCATCCTTCTCACCCTTCTCATCCTTCTCATCCTTCTCATCCTTCTCATCCTTCTCATCCTTATCATCCTTCTCATCCTTCTCATCCTTCTCATCCTTCTCATCCTTCTCATCCTTCTCATCCTTATCATCCTTCTCGTATTTCTCATATTTCTCATACTTCTCATCCTTCTCACCCTTCTCACCCTTCTCATTCTTCTCATCCTTCTCATTCTTCTCATCCTTCTCATCCTTCTCATCCTTCTCATCCTTCCCATCCTTCTCATCCTTCTCATATTTCTCATATTTCTCATACTTCTCATCCTACTCACCCTTCTCACCCTTCTCATCCTACTCATCCTTCTCATCCTTCTCACCCTTCTTATCCTTCTCATCCTTCTCATCCTTCTTACCCTTCTTATCCTTCTCATCCCTCTCATCCTTCTCATCCTTCTCATCCTTCTCATCCTTCTCATCCTTCTCATCCTTCTCATCCTTCTCATCCTTCTCATCCTTCTCATCCTTCTCGTATTTCTCATGCTTCTCATGCTTCTCATATTTCTCATATTTCTCATACTTCTCATCCTTCTCACCCTTCTCACCCTTCTCATTCTTCTCATCCTTCTCACCCATCTCATATTTCTCATACTTCTCATCCCTCTCATCCTTTTATTTTTTTTCATCCTTCTCATCCTTCTCATCCTTCTCATCCTTCTCATATTTCTCATACTTCTCATCCCTCTCATCCTTTTCATTTTTCTCATCCTTCTTATCCTTTTCACTTTTCTCATCCTTCTCATCTTTCTCATCCTTCTCATCTTTCTCATCCTTTTCATCCTTCTCATCCTTCGCATACTTCTCATCCTTCTCATCCTTCTCATCCTTCTCATCCTTCTCATCCTTCTCATCCTTCTCATCCTTCTCATCCTTCACATACTACTTCTCATTCGTCACTTCTCTTTCTCATTCTTGTCATAATGTACCCCCCTTTTTCATCCTGTACTCATCTTTCTCATCCTGTACTCATCTTTCTCATCCTGTACTCATCTTTCTCATCCTGTACTCATCTTTCTCATCCTGTACTCATCTTTTTTATCCTGTACTCATCTTTCTCATCCTGTACTCATCTTTCTCATTCTGTACTCATATTTCTTATCCTGTACTCACCTTTATTTCTTTTTTCATCCTTTTTATCCCTCTCAAACTTCTCATCTTCTTTATTCTTTTGATCCTTCTGATTCTTCTCATCCTTTTTGTTCATTCTTTACTCGTCCTTCTATTCCTTCTCACCTTCCTTACCGTCATGTTCTCATCCTTCTCCTCCTTTATTTATCCTTTTTGCCATCTAACCTTGTAATTATCCTTCAAATCCATCTCACCCTACACACTCATCTTACTCCTCCTTCTCCAACCATTAAAAAAGAAAAATTTCCGTTAGCCATTCAGTTGTAAAGAAGGGACTGAACTTTCGTTTCTTTAACGACATTTTCCGTTTTTTTAACTACCTTTACTTATGATCTCAATTTTATTAACGGCGTTAACAGAAAATTTCCAAAAGCCCTGAATGGTTTTAGCCGTTAATGGTACCGTTTTACAAATTAAAGGTGTTACCGGTGCGAAGTGCCGGAAAAAATTTAAACTTTTAAAAAAGTTTCATGCAATTTTAATTAAAAAAACGAAACAAACCGTTTCTAGCTTTTTCGTTAACGTTTTAAACAGTTAATTTTTTTTTCAAAAACAGCTAATTTGTTTCGTTTATGATTAAAAAATTAATGGTTTTAGCCATTCGTTAACGGACTTATCCTCCGTCTAGTTAACAGAACTTGTCCCACCCCTAGATACAAATCATGCAAAACAAGGTTTTGAAAAGCGTAAAACCCCTGAATGTCACAGAGGTCTGCCACAATTTAGATATCATAAATCGGCGGAACAGTCTAGGCCAGCTCGGATCTTCAAATGTAAACCGATTGTGTTTATACATTTAGATGGATATTATGCCTTGATTGGTTACTGAATCTTCTTCTTTTCGTAGCAGAAGTATGTTTTTGTTCAAATACTTTAATAATTAAGTATTGAATACATGATTCATAAAATAGGTTTTATATCAAAAACAAGGGCGGAATAATGTTAATATTTTTTTCATTTTAACAAATATTAAGAAATGAAACATGATTCTATATCCATTTTTCATGAGTTTTTCAAATATTAGATTTGTAGTTTAAAGAATTTATAATTTTTTAAGGTTTTTTTTTAAGGTTGGTCTGGCCTTTTTTACAAAAAAAAATAAGAAAAGTTATTTTCTAGTGTGTTGGAGACGGGTCCTATACATTTTTTAATAAAAGGAAATAAGTTTATTATTCTGGACTGTAGAGAGCAGCACTTGTACTAGGTAAGATTAAATTAATCTGCAAAATAATAAAAAGAAGAGATTAAGCAATGATCTCGATATCTACAACTCTAAAGTTTTCAGCTCTGATGTCGTAGAAGTTCGATATTTCAAACTATGAATTCTGTTAGATCAGCTGATTCAAGCTTGAAATATCAATCAGATTGTAATGATAAACTGCATAGTTAGAAAATTATATTAATCACTAAATATTTATTGCGCTAGTTTTACTAAGCAATAAATGTTTGAAAATAAATCATTCATGCTATAATATGTAGATCTTTATATATCTGTAGATAGTTATATATATTTAAACCTCTGCATGAAGAAATTAATCATCTTCCCTTTCAAAGCTGATTATTTCAAACTGTGGTTTAACTTCAAAGTTTTGATTGATGGAATCAATTTTGAGAAAATTGTCAAAATTAAACACTGTTCAAGGTTACAGATCAGACGCAGGTATAAATGGTACTCTTGTGAATTGGAAGTCATTTATTTGAAATAAAATGAGGTATTCACCATGCTATTGCCAATATGCACCACAGCTTAAACCCCTGTGCATTGATAAAAAAAATTCATTAATCACCAATTTTAACCACTATGCTCTAATACAGAAACAAAATTCAGTAAACAACTATGCTAGTGCAGTCGAAAAATTTCCTCAATTGTCCTGGAGGAAAAAACAAAAAAGTTTATCTAAGCTCTATGCAGAACTTCTTTACGAAACTTAAACCACCGTACATTTGATTTTTTTTAATCAGGTAAACGCAGTAATCGTAATATATACTCAGCTTTAACCCCTGTACATAGATACAGAAAATTATTTAACCACTGTGCATAGATACAGAAAAATATTTAACCACAGTGTGCATCTATACAGAAAATTATTTAACCACTGTGCATTAATAAAGAAAACTTTTTAACCACTGTGCATCTATACAGAAAAATATTTAACCACTGTGCATAAACAAAGAAAAATATTTAAATACAGTGTGCATCTATACAGAAAAATATTTAAATACAGTGTGCATCTATACAGAAAAATATTCAACCACTGTGCATTAATACAGAAAAATATTCAACCACTGTGCATTAATACAGAAAAATATTTAACCACTATGCAAAAACAAAGAAAAATATTTAACCACAGTGTGCATCTAAACAGAAAAATATTCAACCACTGTGCATTGATACAGAAAAATTTTTAACCACTGTGCATAGATACAGAAAAATATTTAACCACTGTGCATTGATACAGAAAATACTTAGTTATACATTGCTTGTGCTAATAAACACATTTCAATTGCAGATTTATTTCTTTATTGAAATTTGATATTGAATTAAAGGTAGAAACTTCTAGAATTGAGGCCAGTACATAGCATAGGTTTAGAACATTCTAGAATTGAGGCCAGTACATAGCATAGGATTAGAACATNGTGAGTTCATCAACTAAAGTTTACCCAGTGAGTTTATCAACTAAAGTTTACCCGGTGAGTTTATCAACTAAAGTTTACCCTGTGAGTTCATCAACTAAAGTTTACCCAGTGAGTTCATCAACTATAGGGATGTAAAAAAAGTTTATTGCCTGTCACAAACTATGAGATCTCAGATTCATATGAGATCAAAAAATCAAAGTTTAAATTATAATAACAAAGAATTACACCATCAGATAGCAAAGATATAGGGAGTAGAAAATTTGAGTTTGTTGCAAGTAATAAGATTCATTGAATAGAAACAAAATAAAAACTTCTTTATTAGAATTGTTGTTGTTATTTAATAATTTTTTATTAGAATTGTTGTTGTTATTTGATAATTTTTTATTTAAAAAGCTTTTTAATAAATAAAAATAAATTGAACTTTGAAAATATAAAGATTGATATCATCATTAGAGTAACACTACTGGGAATATTGGTTGCTTCTGTACAACTCTTCATATATACTGTTATTATTACTTCTTCTTTACTTAAAAGGTAAACTATTTAATGCTTTTTTGAATTTATAAAAGTAAAAAAAATGTAAAGTTACTTCAGTAAAATAATATTTGTGAATTTAAATTAATTTTTTTAGGGCTCCAAAAGAACCTGATGAAAATTAAAGATGCTGTATAAAATAACTAAAAATATTATGATTTATGTAAAATTATTGTTTTGATGAAGATATTGTGTTTGTTGTCCGAACTTTATTACAATGTAGCTTATTTTTCTTCCTAAATGTATTGAGAAATAAATGTTAATTTTTTAATTTTGAATTCTTTAAGTACCCCGTATTCCCACCATCCAATAGCAGACTTCCTTATAAGTTTTTCTTACTTAAAATGGCAGTTTGACTCCGGGAGTTGATAGTTCTCTACCTGTGTGCTCAGAATTAGCTGTACAGTACACTTACAACTGTTTACTAATATTGATAAACTATAGGTTAGGCCAGAATCAACTTATATTAAACATATATGCAGTACGCTCTCGGTATAGTTTATGGCCTATTCAATTAGTAAAGGATTAGCGTTCATTATCACTCTATTCACTATAACCTCGTTGATACATACAGACTATGACGCAACACGGTATGGTACACAAAATGAGTCATTCCCTTCTAGTGAGATAATTGTAAGGGTCTATAACATGTTTACCTACAGGGTTACCCCACAAAGGGTGCAGTAGGTATGAGACTTTTTACACTGTCGGTTTACTAATATTTATTATTCTCTGCAACCGGAAACTTGTTTCTTTCTTTGCCAAATCCTTAAGTAAGCTATGAAGAAACTCTACATATTTCAAAAGTTTAACGTCGTCTCTACAATCTAAACCTGTGTTGGTATAACTGTATATTAGAATATCCACACTGAGATTAGGTTAATATTGAAAATGAAAAAAGAAGATAATTGACAAATTGTAAACTATTCGGACAACGATAAATTGTTAAAATGATTTTAACTTTTTTAAAGACCCCCCTCTCCTCCCTTCCCCTCTCCTCCTTCTCCCAGTGTTGACCTTATTCTGTGGATATGACCTGAATATATAAGAATAATAAAGAATATGATAAAGCTATACCCCAGGATATACAGGATATTACGAGTCACGGAAGCTCGTAGTAAGATTTTGACTCCACTGGACACCACCGGAGGGAATTCATTTTCACTGGAGGGGTTTGAAAAAATGCTTTTTATAATTCAAAACTTTACGCAGGGTGATTTACATTCCACTGGAGGGATTCAGATGTCCTTCCTTGGGGTTTATAATTTCACTGGAGGGATTCAGTTATCCTTCCAAGGGGTTTATAATTCCACTGGAGGGATTCAGATATCCTTCC